AATGCGAGCGAGCTTGTGGACTGGGGCATCCGAGGGGATGCGAAAGAATGAGCAAATAGATGACGGCCAACGGGAAAGTGAAAAATAGTAGACGATGGAACGTTTCGCGAAACACGTAAACGGTCTCTTTGCAGACCCTTGGAAGATCGAATTGCAAGTTGGAGGAAAGAAAAATGAAAAGTGTTCGTTGGAGACGTTTAGCTTGTAGGCCAGGTTCCTTTAACATTGCACATTGCACGCGTATTCTGCGAGGCACTCGACGAGATTCCAACAGTGGTCGGAGAGTTGCGTAACAAAGTTTCGACTGTCTCTTTCCGTTTGTGTACGTATCGCGTGCACGATGTACGCATTTGCGCGAGCACCTACTCCTCCCGCACACGCGCAAATATGTACTGTGCAGGTGTGAGCGAAGGATACCGAACGGTGAGTAGTTGAAATGATATATTGGGTCGGCGAACTTTTCACACGAACGTGTGTCTCGTGGCTCGGATATGATACGTATAGGTAGATAATCTGCATAAATGAGTGAACAAATAAATAGTTGGATAAACATGTAAATAACATATGCATATGTATACATATATACATATATACATATATACATATATACATATATACATATATATATATATATACATATACATATACATATACATATATACATATAGATATACATATATACATATGCATGTATTAGCTACATATTTATTGAATGATTTATTTATCTATTTATTTATTTATTTATTTATCTATTTACTTGTAGACATTTTTATATACTGTAAGAAAGCATTGGATATCGCGCGTAGTCATCGTTACATCCATGCCATCATTGATCTTTTATTTAACCGACTCGACGAATAGACTGGTTCGACCAATCGATAGATTAAGTATAAATAGGTAGTTGAATGAGCTAAGCTGAAATGTCGATAGAGAGATAAAGGTAGCGAAAGGATAGTTTAGATTCTTTCTACTAGATAGTTTGTTCTCTCGATCAATGTTTTTCCTGTAACGTGTGTGTACACGATTATGCGTTTATTTTCGTTGCTGCTGTATCGTTTGCATCATCGTAGTTTCGTGTTTCCGTGTTTCGTGTTTCGTGTTTCGTGCTTCGTGTTTCGTGTTTCGTGTTTCGTGTTCCGTGTTTCGTGTTTGCTGTTTCCTGTTTCGTTTGAATCATCTTTATGGAATTACAACGAATTCCGAGTCGAGGCCAGCTGCTGCGCCAAACGTATATTTTCTCGTTTCTATTGTTTACAGGGAACTTTTTACTCGGTGATCAACCTCCGTGTTGTACGTAAATTAATCGGATACGGCGGTACCTGTTCTCCTATTCTTATTCATTCTACTCGTGCGAAACGGTTGGTCATCCGTTCTGTCCAAGTATTCTTCCAACAGTGCTCGTCGTACGATTAATCGGCGCAGCGATACATATTCGTTGGTCTATTTTGTTTCAACCAATTGTTCTCGACTGTTGCCCGATCCGTTCGAGAAATCGTATTATTCCCGATTACGTTACGTATTTTTTCGGTATGACGATAGCGTCGGTTCGTTTCGTTCGAACGAGAACAACGCGCCTTCCTCTTTATTTACGTATGCGTGTAAAAGTATCATCGAACCACAGTTTCCGTGTCTGCGCATACCACGTGTTTTCCTTGTTGTAAATGTTTAATTATATTTCGATGCGACGACATGTCATTACGGAAATACGAAATCGTAAAGGGAAGTTTATTCTTAAACGTATTTTATCGAATTGCATTAGTACGTTCGTTTGCTCATTTCGTTCGTTCGTTCGTTCGTTCGTTTGTGCGTTCGTTCGTGCGTTCGTTCGTGCGTCCGTCCGTGCGTCCGTCCGTCCGTCCGTCCATCCGTCCGTCCGTCCGTCCGTTTGTTCCTTTGCTCACTCGTTGAATTGTTCCTTTGTTCATTTGTTCATTTGTTCATTTGCTCATTTGTTCGAATCCTTGGAATCGTTCGATTCGTAATTTCGTCGACTCGAATCGTGTAGACTTCGATCACGACGGTGAAAGGAAAATATGGCTGCGATGTACGTGTGGGGTGTGCTATGAAAAGAAGTAAGAAAAATATTACGGAAAATCCTTTGGCGGAGAAACGAGAATTTACAGGGTTCGTCGCGTACATCGCGCCACTGAGTAATCGGTAGAATCGATAATGTAATTGATGGCTGTTGCTTGCTAATAAGCTTAACCGTGTAACATTGATGCTTACGCTTCGACCAACAACTCCCTGTAACGATTATTCGCTTGTGTACCACTGAAAGTTTGATTCTTTGAGTTTTGTTCTTGCCGACGGTGCGCAGTAGGTTAAAATTCGCTTAAAGTTCCCCCGCCAATCCAATTCGGTTCGCTTCTCGCTTGACTAGATTGGATTATTCTGCTAATACTGTTACGGCTGCCTGTACAAAATATGGTTGGTAAGATTTGCTTCCGGACGAAATCCTTCTATCGCTTTTTTCTTTCGTTACACGCGTCGCATCGACGCACACGTATCCTTATCGGTGCATAGGATGTACCGCTAAATACGTTGCAACTTCCTCTTTCCGAGGCTGTACGCGACACGAAACTTTTCTCTCCTCTTTTCTTCTTCTCTGCTTTCTTCTTTCTTCTTTCTTCTTTCTTCTTTCTTCTTTCTTCTTTCTTCTTTCTTCTTTCTTCTTTCTTCTTTCTCCTTTCTCCTTTGCTCCCCCCTTTTCTCTCTTTTTCTGCCGTTCTTCGCGTTTAAGTGGAAACGATATAACGAGAGGCAAAGTAAACGTCGAAATAAACCGATCAATGTTTCATTTTCATCCGTTACACGTTATCTTTCGTTATTCGTGTCTCGTCTAGTTTTGGAACCACGACAAGATTGGGTAACTTGTTCAGCGTTGCAACCTATGTAACACTCGACGCGCGTATCTGCGTCTCTCGCGGGTCTCTCGAAACCCTTTTTCGTTGATGTTCCACTGTTCTACGCGCGCTCTCTTCGATCTGTACCCTTGACTTTTTACTTTTCACTTTTCCCTCCTTTTCCGTTTGTTTCTCTCACGTAACACACATACTTTCTCTGTCTACCCTTTTCTCTGTGCAATAACTTGGTACAACATATATACACGTTACATATGTCTCTTTATGTACCACGTACATACCATGTATATACTGTACAAAATTAATATGTGCATATTAACGCAACACGTACACGTAGTTTCAGGCACGTACCAAGTTTGCGCGACATATACGTGTATATTTAATTTGTATGTCACGCGTTTGTACATATTTATATATATTTATATATACACATATATATGTATGTATGTATGTATGTATGTATGTATGTATGTATGTATGTATGTATGTATGTATGTGTGTATATATGTATTTGTTTTTATACATACGTTACAGTGTATTTGAATTTGTGTATTTAGTAGATGTAGAACAAGTACACACAACTATAGCCAATCAGCCTTGAGGAGATACTAATTGAAATACGCGAGTCTGATATTTGCATCGTTTTTAACATCGAATAGGTCTAGTTTACGAAGAGACGATGTACAGATACGGAGAATAGAAAAACAAGTGCATCGTTAGTGTATTTGGACGCGTGTAAAGAGAAACGAGGGAAGAAAAGCTATTTTCTATGAGAAATACGTTCAATGGCGTGATCTCAGGTGGAAGAAATCGAATCTAGTCTAAAGATGAGATCGCGATAGCGTGCGTGTGAATATTCACGTGAAATTTGTGGGGAGGGTGGAGCGATGAGAGAAAGAGAGACTAAGCGAGCGTGTCAGGGTTGGGAGAAAGGAGGGGAGAGATAGAAATAGAGATAGAGATAGAGGTAGAGGTACAGTTAGAGAAAGAGAGGAACGACGGAGTGAGAGAAAGCGAGAGAGCGAGGAAGGAAATGCGTGACTGATGATGGAATGGGAGAGGAAGAGGGACAAGGGGAGTGCGCTTATGCTGTACGAGCGTAACAACATTGATAATCAGATGGGGTAACGATTGGGTGTGTGTTATTTGGTCAGGCTGGACGTGGTCGTGGAGTAGTGCCCCGTGGCCGAGTCGGTGGGCCGCAAGTCCGTGGTCCAGTCAGGGGGGGACGCAACCCCGCAACTTCAGGGGCCCGTGGGCTCCAGCGCCTGTCCGCTCGTGGGGGGGTCCGCGCCAAGGGAAGTTTACCAGGTGAGGATGGTCTGTATCTCCACGATAAATCAATCACATTTTACACCGTTAATGTATCTTCTTCCCTTTTCCTTTTCCTTTTCCTTTTCCTTTTCCTTTTCCTTTTCCTTTTCCTTTTCCCTTTCCTCTTCCTCTTCCCTTTGTTCTTCCACTTTTCCTTTTCCTTTTTATATAGCAGTACAGTATTCACGATCGCGGTCGGGATCGAGACGTCGAGGTCCCGATTCAGGTCGATCCAATTTCAATTCCAATTCCAGTTCCAGTTCTATATATTTCACCCAGAATTTCCGCTTTTCCTGGGAATTTCGTAAAGTTGTATTTCCGATGAACTGCTTCGATCCCCGAATCACGCGTAATTTTCTATGAAATTTTCCGATTCGCGTGAATTGCTATCTCGTGGGAAACAACGATGGCGTACGATCCGCTTGGAAATCGTTGTCGTGGTCTTTATTCGGATTCGATTGATATCGTAAATTCGGAAGTATCTCGTAGAATGGAATAATAGAAATGTTTACGGAAGAAGCGTAGCTTGGATCCTTGAGAATGGGGGGATTCGCAACAGTGTTTGATTTCTGTCGGATCGTTCTCGGTTGAAAGGATCGCGCGGAACTCGGGGTTCGAGGGGACGCCCTTTCTTACGCCTGCCCTACTCGCAACCTACTCCCAGAATCAACTTGGTTTAAACTTGGCCCGATTGCGAGATCTGTTCTATCCAGATTCCTTATCCGATCCGACTCGATTCCTTCGAACATAGTATCGTTTTTTCGATTGATAATGGATTATCGTTTCTCGCCCGCTACTCGAATCGCCGTTTCCTTCATCTGCGAATGATTTGTTCGTTTTCTCGTTTAAATCGCTGTCTCGTCGTCGTCGACTAAACAATGACGAATACATACGTATTTATTTAGCTACAGACATATAAACGTACATACCGAAAGATCTAAAGACTCGACGACCCGACGACCTAATCAAAACCGAAAGACCTACAGACCTACAGACCTAAAGACACGGTAGTTTGATCAAGAAGCGAGAGACGTGCAAGAATCGGAGTGCACGCTAGTCGAGCGAACAAAAGAAAACGAGATCGAATCGTGTGGCGCGCGCGATCGAATCGGCGAGATGACGAACATGTGTTTATTTGTTTGCACAGCAGGTAAACGAAAATTTGACGGGGGTCACCAGAACCAGGGGGAATCTAAGCGTCGCTTCCAGAGCAATTGGGGAAACCAACCCCTCGCCCAACAACCATTGGGTAATGCGTACGGATTGGCGAGTGTGAACGGTGGTAGTGGTGGTGGTGGCGGTGACATCGGATTCGGCGGCAGGCAAGCCGCGCTCGGCGGTGTTTCCAACGACGATCACGAGTGGTACCAAGACTCTTACCAGTCGTGGAGCTAACTTCTGCGAGTCTGTGAGTGTGAATACGCACGTACACAAGCACGAACGCACGCACGCACCAGCAAACGAAAGAACCATCTAACCGGCGGAACGGAATCGAACGGACAAATCGCGTGTACGGCAGAC